AAAAATGATGGTTAGTTTCTGGAAGTCCACATTGGCATAGAGGTGTGTTTACAATATTTTGATGGTGGTTAAGAGAACCACACTGATACCTGTATAGAAATATTTTGGACACTTTTTAATGTTTCTATTCAAAAGACACTTGAAAGAAGATAACGAAGGGCATTTTGTATATCATTTGGAAGTTCATTCCATTCTCTGGGAGCTGAGGGAAGAAAAACATTATAGAATGGAGAGGTTCTTGTATATTTTTGGAATTTCGTAAACTATAACGCGAAGTGTCACCCAAGACTTGATAGGTAGTCAGGAGAGAGTCCATTTTTCATTTTATAAACAAGAATCAATTTATGTTTCTTTCTCCTACTGTCTAAAGATTCCCAAAGGACCTCTCGTTGGAGCTCATGAATGGACACACGTTTAGTAACACCAGAGTAACATTAGAGACAATTCTTGAAGCTTGAAGCTGGATTTTATCGAGTTCATATTTTTCATATTGAGTACAATTGGTGTAAACAACATCGGCGTATTCTAGAATTGGCCTGATATAAGACAGGTATATTATTTCTAAGGATTTACGATCAAGTTGAAATATAAACTTGCGCATGATATGTATACGTTCCCAAGCCCTCTCTTTTACATGATTAATATGAATATGTCATGAACCATCATCTAAAAAGTGTAAGCCTAGGTGTTTGTGAGATGTCACTGAAGATATTGTCTGGTTTTGCATTAACAGAGGTGGATGGAATAGTTTAGATGTTTTACGTGTGATAAGCATGGTTTCAGATTTGGAAGGATTAAACTTGACTTGCCATTTGTCAGCCCATGAGGAAATCTTGTTAATATCAGATTGGAGAATATCAGCCGCAGTAACAGGATGGTCAACGATCAAATACAAGGTTGGTATCGTCGGCAAAAGGATTTAAAGAGGACCTTAAGTCAACAGCAATGTCATTCATATAGACTAAGAAAAGAAGCGGACCCAGAATCGAGCCTTGAGGTACTCCTGCGTTGAGTATAGACCAATCAGATTTGGCGCCAGAAAGGACAATAGATTGGCGTCTGTTTGACAGATAATCCGAAAACCAGTCGAGAAGGGGTCCTTGAATACCGGTTCTTTTTAACTTCACCAGAAGACCCTTGTGTCACACTTTATCGAAGGCCTTGCTGATGTCGAAAAAGACAATCCGTATCTCAAGACCTTCCTCAAGGGCTTTACAGAGGAAGTTGTAAAGAAAGGTTAATTGATTCACAGTTGAGTCATCAGGTTTGAAACTAGATTGAAGGGGAGATATAAAGTCATTACCATGCAGAAAATTATAAATATACTTGAAAATAATTCGTTCAAAGATTTTTCCATGCAGCATTGGAGAGATATAGGACGAAAGTTATTGGGTAACGATGGATCGCCTTTCTTAAAAAGTTGGCAAATATTGGCATCTTTCCAAGTTTGAGGAATCTTACAAGAGCGGATTGAATGTTTAAAAAATGAACAGAGTTGGGATTTGATTACGGACGACTTATTACGTAATTGTTTGAATGAGTGCCAGTGCATAAGATTTAGAGTTTTTTTTTTTGCTCTATGTTAAAGTCTTTTGCGTTTTCGAATAAGCTGTTTGATTTGTGTCGTTATCCATACTGCATCAGTCGGTTATACTATTACTGATTTTGTAGGTATATGCTGCTTTGAAAGATCGAGGATTTTGTTGCTTACTAAAGTTGCATGTTCATTTATGTCGTTGTTTGAATATTGTTCCCAGACAGTTTGGCTGATGCTTTGTTTAAGGGAGTGGTAGTTGCCTCTATCATATAACCAAACAAAACGTTTGAAAGATCCTGATTTAGATTTAGAGAAGGAAAAAAGAGCAAAAATAGGACAGTGGTAGCAAAGATTTTGGCCTAGAACTGGTTCTCCAACACCGGGAGTTATTACTCAATGACTACAAGAGACAAGAAAAAGATCTAAATCAGAGGCTGAAGTCTCGCTTACCAACTCTATTACAAGTAGAGAAACTGATAGCGAACAGCATGGATCCTGATCAGACTGCGCGGATGCGCAGCCTGGTCTGGATCCATGCTGGTCGCAAACGCAATATGTTGGTTTTGTCGTGACACGGCTCAAATATTCTTGTCAATATCATACGTAAGATAAAAGGAATAATAAGAGTGACAATTTGCAAAAAGAACTCATGTATATTAATATTTTTTCAAAGAAAATATTCCTTGAAAAGACAAACAAAATATTGACAATTCAAAGAAAAAATAGTCAGAAGCATATACAAAACTTATAAGTGCATATACGCTATACTTTTTATTGATTTTACATGAACTATATGACTAGTATTTTGTTGAAGTTGTCTAAATTATCTTTATTTTACATTTAATTTTTAGCAAGCAAAGCGAATAAACGTACAAATATGTATATATACACGCATATACAAAAACACGTATGCACGCATAGTATTACATATATTGTACACATGTACAGACATTTACATGCATTCATGGTAAGCTTAATTTTATTAATGCAATCATATGAAATATAATTAGGTATTTCTATGTAGTTTGAAAAGGCTCATTTACTTCAACAATATATGATGTTGATTTATGAAAATTAAATTTTTATCATAATCATTTATGCAAATAAACATACAAATATATACATATACACGTAAATACAAAACATACATTCACACATACATACAATGTACACATAAGTACATACATATGTACACAATCACATATACATACATTCATGGTAAAGCTTAACCATATTAAAGCAATCATATAAAATATCAAAAAGATATTTGTATGTAGTATGAATAGCTCATTTACTTCAACAATATATGATATTGATTTACAAGTATGAAATTGTTATCATAATCATTTACGTTTTCTAAAATATGACTGATTTAGATGTATTTAAAGATAGTAGATCACATCGCGATGTATATTTAGTTTTATTTTTATAAGAAGAAAGAACAACTTTATAGAACAAGTAACTTGGTCAAAGTTACAACTGGAAAATGAGTAAGATCTAAATATGATATAATATCTCTCGTTATAATCGATAAAGTTTCTTTCATATGATAATTGCAATAATCTTACAAGCTGTTTATATATCATAAATATGAACGTGGTGTGTCTAGATGACATTTTTCGGATTTCTAAGATGTAATGACAAAATGATTGATAGATAGTTTAAAAGTAGATTTTGTTCATATATCAGAATCAATATAAATATATACGTACACATAGTAAATACGCTACATATTTTAAAACGAAGAATATAGTGCAAAATATTTTGGAATGTCACGCACGATATTCACGGGATTGCTCTAATTGTTACGAGTTGAAGTATACTGCATAACTTTAACTACCCAACGGTATATGAATAGAACTCAGTTACGTTTTGAAAGAATACGATGTATAGTCTCTTTGCTGCTTTTTACAATTATTATTCCATCAGTGGTCCAAGCGCCGAGAATTACTGTTTTTACAAGTTGACGTAATATAGAAGTTCAGATCTGATTTTTGTTAAATCTTCATTAACAAAGGTTTTCATGTGGCCTTTAGACTTCAGAAGAGCACTCTTCTTGAGCAGTTTATCTCTAGAGCGACGGGAGGCGAACTTAACTAGGATATCGCGCGGCTTTCCAGATGATCTAGGTTTACCGACTCGATGTGACACAGCTATTTCATCTAAGCTCAAGTCAGTACCAATGCGTGAGCTCATATAAAGAATGTTTTGCTTGTGCTTCATCACAAATAATGTTCATAGGAATTCTTGCAAAAGTAGCAACATGCAAAGAAATTGTCAAATAAATCTTACAAGTTATATTCTTTATTGTTCAAATCATACATTTGTACGATTTTGATTGTAGAATGGTTTTTCTTTTGGTCGTGAAAAATATAACTTCACATAGAACTCAGTTTTTGTCAATTAATTCATACAGTCATGATTGAAGAACAAACTGTATATTTATATTCTATGATTTACTTACTGACAAAAAGGAAATTGCATAATATTCTGATCTTGATTTCGTGTTCAATACGAAATTTAAATGTTTATGATATATTAGAAGAATAAGATAAATCTGAGTTCAATTAAGATATAGAATATATCAACTATAGAACTTGAAGAGATTGCACAATCATTTATTAAAAACTTTTGACATAACAATTAAATAGTGATACTCTTAATAACGGTGAATGAAAGCATGTATTGTATAAATGTAAATGATTCATTTTACATTTTTAATAACCAAAAACAAGTACAATTTACTATCAATAATGGTTAAGATAATATACTATTAAAGCTTAGTATTATTGTCTTAATTTGGAATCAATATATCAATAAGTATTGTTCGTAAACCGCAATTCCTCCATAGTATTAGCCAATATTAGCCTCCTAGTGTAAATAATTGAATCCCCATTGTTTGCTCAGTTGTGTTTCATGTACACGCGTATACTTTTATTGGCTGACAGTTCCATTATAGCTGAATTAATTGATATTCTAAACGTGTCATAGAGAACAACAACTTTCTGTAAATCTTGAATAACATTACAAAAATTGAAAAAAAATGCATTTGTGACCTGGACTATCTATTAATATTTTAGTTTTAAAACATCAGTTTACAGATTGTAATGGGATCAATACTTTATATTTGATAGACGTTATACTTTGTTTTGTTCTGGGGGAAGGGGGGGTCTGTTACAGAAGATAATGTCATATCTACTTTTTATATGGCAGCCGTGTCCAAAATTAAATATGTGTTCTATTTCATTTATTTCTAATTGAATGTACATTTTCTTTATTTTTGTCCATATATTGCACACATAGCTCAATATTATATAACTCTTTCATATTGATAGATCGTGTAAGGTTGCAAGTATGTTATAAGGTTAAAAGATAGCAAAAGCAAAAGAGTTATTAAATCAGAAATACATATATATCATATCATATCATATTATTTTCTACATGGCACGCCAATTGATTATCACACACATGTTGTCTACTTTAAATATGTTGCTACCACGTTCTACAATAAATATCTTTATGCATAAAATAAATAGTTTACTGTTTTAATCAAAAGTAGTGCAAACTCCTGCACTCATAGATATTTCTTATCCAATAATAAACTTTGGTATTAGATAAGATCTTTACTAAATATATGCCTTTGTTGTGAGATATACAACATACAATATATAGAACATAAACGAGATAATAAAATGTAAAACTCATGTCAAAATTAAATCCGTTTAAGTTTATATATTTGACGTCACTGGTTAGGATTACCTAATATAAAACGACGTCTTAAAACATGTAAAGTAAAACAACAACAGACCATATACAAAACGTATTTTAAAGAATAACGTTTCAAAACGCTTGTATGGAATATAAACACAAACTACATAAACACAAAAATAAACAAAATGCTACTTTTATATTTTGTACATCATACCTTAAGCAATGTTAAATGGCGTCATTGTGATACGGAAATGTCACAATACAACACGAACGTCGTGGTTTAAGAATTTGATAATTACTTACATATTGAAAATACGTTTCATTACCTTTTTTGGAACATTTCGTTATTAACCTGATGAAATCTTGAATCAGAAAGACTTACAGTACTTCTATAGTTTCCGCTTCCTTTGTTGATGGTATCTTGTTACTATCCTCTACCTTAAAAATAGAGCCATGTTTTTCGAAGTGTAATCGCGACTGATTCCTACAATGGGAAGGACACATTGCCTTTAGAATAGAAAGCAATTCTTCTAAAAATACATTGTTACAAAAACAATAGACAAACGGGTTCAAAGCTGAACATAAAAATAGGACTTTAACAAAAATTGAAAAACTGCTTTCCCAGCTGCCGAGAGTTTGTTGTAATATGCAGGATTATTAAGACGTAAGCAGACGACACCTATACATGGAAGGTAGCTAATTCCATACAACAATGTTAGAATTATCATCATAAATATAATCTTCTGTATTCGGTATGCCGAGGACTCTTTTATTTTCCCCTCCTTTTGACAAATTGATTCTTTCTGGCGCTTTGCCAAAGATCTTATGATGTGGCTAAATAATACTATTAGGGTCAGGAATATTATTATAAATGACGAAATATGTGCCACGGAGGTCACGAAAGAAAATGAAAATGCTAATTGTTCCATTGCATCATCCATTAAGCATGACTTTCCGTAAATCAGAACATCTAGACCTTCAACAGATGTATTAAATCTATTGCCGTCGGTAATATTCTGTATTGCAAATAACGGAATAGTTTGTGTCCCGTAGACGAAAAACATTGGTAACGCAGTAGCAACCGATATTATAATATTCACATAACACATGCGCCTTGATGTTGTATCCGTGAATTTTGGTTTCCAAGGCTTGCAGACTAGTCTGTAACGTTCAAACGCAATTGCTAGTAGTGTTAGACATGATATATTACTCACACTGTAGGCAAACCACCGAAAAAACTTGCACAGCCATCTTAAATCCAAATCGAAAAAGTGTGTCATTATTACAAGTTCTGTTGGCATAACAACCGCGCATGTTAGAAAATCACATGTCGCCATCGTTATAAGAAATTGTCTAGCAACAGCCTTCTTTAAACGCCGAGTATATACAAGCAAAGTTAATATATTACCCGGTAATCCAATAACCATTAAGATTATAATCAATGTAAATGATGGTAAAAATATTTCAAACTGATTATCGTTGGCCTTTGTAATAACTGTATAGCGGATATCTGGATATTCTTGATGGACCAAAGCATCATACGATACAGCTCTGAGACTGTTATTCGACATGAATACTTTCACCGATTGGTTATCAAAAGAATATTTAAATTTACGTAATCATCCACTTGACTTAATATCCTCTTTATCGTCGTATCTCTATCAAACTGGCACTGACGTCGATGGTTCTTACATGTTCCTTGAAGTAATGTTGCGATTGGCCAAACTCAAATGGAATCGCACCAGTATTCTTTTACTTTTATCAGTCGTCTTTCTTTTCTTAAATGTAAAACATGATAATTGTAATATTTTAAAAAAGGAGGCGATGATCATTTATTCTATTATTGTTTACAATAGACCAAATCATATTGTTTGATCACAATGAAAATTGCTATTTAAGAGTGCATCAATATCAATATTAACAATAACAGGTGCATGATTATCTAAAAGATATCATGGAATGGGTATGTTTTGTAACATTTAAGATTCTTAAGCTACATCGTTTTGTAGAATCGCCATTTTATAATCATTCTGTTTAATTTATCATGCTAAGATTATTGTGTGTGAAAGAAACATTATCGAGCATAAAAAGATATTGAGATTATGTTTTTTAAACAGATACTGTTGCAGTTGCATTCTGCTTAAACCGATACAAGGAGGCGCGAATCGCAGATTTCACCTCCTTTGTTCTTAAACAGCCCGAATCAAACGGTGTAAGCAACATTTTAAATTTTGTCATTTTCAGAAGTCTTAAAGATTTCCATTTTTTTTATATAAGCCTTTACACCAGCGACAAGATGGATAATAATCAAAGCTTTTATGGTTTAACAATATGTGATTCTATATCACATTCTTTTAATCAACAAACAATATAAAGTTAAAATGAAAATTATTAACAATGTGAAGTTAGAGATATATATCGGAAAAGTCAATCGTAAAGGCCTTTAAAAAGGAGAAGTAAGTAAAAATCTTTATTATCCATCTCTAGTTATTTTATCATTAAATGTAACAAACTTTTCAGAACCACTGATCCAACAAAATAAGTATTCAATATTCACTACTGTATTGTTATGAAATGTCTTCAAGTGAAAATCTTTGATATTTCGAGACAGTTAACAACTTCAATATATTCTTTTGCAGACTTTGAATTAAGTTCGCGACAGTGAAATAACGAACTTTGTGACATTTATCAACAGCCCCGACACAAGTACAATAATAAGAAATACCGTTCTGATATCAATGTTATAAACACAGATCTAATATACAATAATATAAACACTGATATAAAATACAATTATACAAACACTGATATGAGATATGAGATACAATGATATAAACACTGATATGAGATAAAAAATACAAACACTGATATAAAATTCAATAATACAAACACTGATATAAAATTCAATAATATAAACACTGACATAAAGTACAATAATACAAACACTGATATAAAATATAATTTTATAAATACTGATACAAACAATATAAACACTGATATAAAATACAATAATATAAACATAATATAAAATACAATAATATGAACACAGTTATAAAATACAGAAATATAAACACTGATATAAAATATGATTACGTTAACTTGATTGTTTGATTCTTATAAGATAAAGGTGTTTCTTAATTTAACAGAATATAGTAGAATTCTATTCAATTAATAATGCAATAAAGGTGGTATTGTTAAAACCTGCAATCCGGTCAAGTAAGGACTTATATTTTAATGAGTAAACAGCTTACATGTGTTTGCATATCTCCTTTTTAAAGAAATATAAATGTACGTATGGAACTGATTTTTTTAATTTTATGTTATGTTATGTATTTACTACTTAGTATTTGCATAAAACTAAATCAACAGCCAAGTCATTTCGAACAATGTTTCTAAAACAATTAATACCTCAAAATATCGTCACTAATCAAAAGATCAAGGTATTTTGGAAATTGCACATGTTCCCTTGGCAACATTTGAATGACTGTATTAGGTTATTGATATTGTACTATCATATAAATAACCGAAATGAGGAAGATATCTATCAAAACTAATAAGAATAAATTTAGGATTATAACCTAAAGGAAGCTCGTAAAAATGATTTTATGTTTGTCAATGAATATATAGATTAAATTGTATTGTTTTGTTAGTCTGTTTTGCCTTTAGTTAAATTATATGCTTTGTTCCCTGTTCTCATGTAATAAAGATTAATTTCTTGTGATGTTTTACCATAACTGTTTTCATCAGAATTTATTGCTAGGTTTCATATTTTGTTTATCAATAAATTCATCATACGCTTCAAATGGCATAACAAGAGATGAAATAATTAAATTAATTTCAAAATGACAAATATTTATTCAATAAATCACACGTGAAAGCATATAACATCGATGACTCTGAAATATTAAATTCTCTATTGTATGTATGGATAAATTTCTTTCTGATTAATTATGCTCATTTGTCATAAATGAAAATGAAGATTCATTTCCTAAGAAGAAACATGTTTTTCTTTTTTAGATATATTGATTGGAAAACAAGCAAGATACTTACGTTTATTCCTTTCTATGACAGAGCCTTGAAAATAAATTTATAACACCTACTCTTTAATACCCTAAATATAAACAGCAAGCCTTTATAATTCCTTTCAGTCATTTTATACCGAATGCAAACAAGTGGTAAAGTATACTCCTCTCTTACAATTCACTATGTAAAATGTCAGTTGCAATGAAATAAATATACACTATCCTTTTAAATACCATATTATACCAGGAGGAATTGTATAATAGTCATTCAATTGTTATAATGGACAGGAAATGATGAAAATAAATTGCATTTGTCATATTTAAATGAAGCAATTAGCCAGACCTTTAAAATCAGTCAAAAACAAGATATGTTTGTAAAACATGTATGCCCCCTATCGGCAACCAATTAGTCATGTGATCAGGTTATTATGACTGACTTTTGACCTAGTGACCAAAAAATCAATAAGGGTTAATTACTGGTCATGACAAGTCACTAAGTAATTGTGATCGCAAAGGTTATATGCAGCAATTTTATGACAAATTTATTACAAATCGTACCAAATAATACATGCAAACATTCTATAAATCAAGTAGGCCTCATTAATAGGGCTGTCATTGATTTTGTATCGATGTATCGGGAGACAAATATTGACGATGCATCGATATATCGACTGACAGAAGATACATTGAAAAACATTTATGTATGTGTTATAAATTGGGATAATGGTGTTATGCATGCTAGAATTACACATTACACATACTACATACTAACAGAAAGTGTTTTTTTTTCTGTTATTCTTGTCACTGACATTTTAAAACGGAGTTTAAAGTTCAAGTAAGCCAAAAAAAAGACAACAAAAATCTAGAAAAAAAATGACTTCTCTTATAAGCCAAAATAGAGAGGTATATCAACAAACAGAAATATTTTTTTAGCTTGTATCGATATGTGAAAGTGTGTATCGATATTGTATCGGATGATGAATATCGAAAATATATCAATATCGCGATATTCAATGACAGCCCTACTCATTAATGACAGCCAACTTGTTATATTACATAAGACATTAAAAGGACTTTAAGTTTAATAAAATATCAACCAATAGCAACTTGAGTTGTTGAGTTATTGGTCAGAAACAGTCTTTACATACAAGGACCTTTGACCCTTAAATCAATAGGGGTTATCTACTGGCCAAAACCAATGCACCTGTGAGGTTTGAAGGTAAAGGGCCCATGAGTTGGGATATTGATCAGAAAGCGTTTTTACGTATAAGGTCATTGTGAACTTGACTTCTGACCCCTTAACGCCAAAAATCCATTAAGGTCATCTTATGACCAAAAGCAATGCATCTGTAAAGCTTGAAGGTCAAGGGTCCATGGATTGTTCAGTTATTGATAGAAAACCATTTTGAAATACAAGGTCAATACAATCTTTGACCCCCTCACCCCAAAATCAATAGGATGTCATCTACTGGTCAAAACCAATGCGCCTACGCAATTTGAGAGCCAACAGCCCATGGCTTGTGAAGTTATTGATCGGAAACCATTTTCACCTACAAGGTCAATTCAACCTTGGTCTTTGACCCCTTGACCCAAAAAATCAATAGGGGTCATTTACTGGTCAAGTCCAATGCACCTACCACGTTTGAAGGCAAACAGCTTATTGATTGTCAAGTAATTGATCAGAAACCGTTTTACCTGCAAGGTCAATGTGACCTTGACCTTTGACCCCTGACCCTAAAATCAATAGGGGTCATTATCTGGTCATGAACAATCATCATACCAAGTTTGAAGTTCCTATGCCCAAATGTTCTTTAGTTATTGATCGGAAACTATTTTACCTACATGATCAATTTGACATTGACCTCTGACCCCTTGACCCCAAAATTGTTAGGATCATTTGCTGGTCATGAACAATCATCAAACCAAGTTTAGAGTTCCTAGGCCTTGACGTTCTTTAGTTATCACTCGGAAACCCTTTTTACCTACAAGGTCAATGTGACCTTGACCTTTGACCCCTTGACCTTAAAATCAATAGTCATCTGCTGGTCATGAACAATCATCATAAGAAGTTTGAAGTTCCTAGGCCTTAACGTTCTTTTGTTATCACTCGGTAACCGTTTTTACCTTCAAGGTCAATGTGACCTTGACCTTTGACCCCTTGACTCCAAAATCAATAGGGAACGAACATTCAGCATACTAAGTTTGAAGTTCCTAGGCCTTAGCGTTCTTTAGTTATCACTCGGAAACCATTTGGTCTACGGACCGACAGACTGACCGACAGACAAATGCAAAGCAATACACCCCACTTCTTCGAAGGGGGCATAATAATATAGTTTTGAAATACATGTATTTGAAAAAACAAAACAAACAAAAACAAACACAACAACAACCCAACATATTGATAAACATCAGATTACTATTTATTTTATTCAAGACCAGGTGTCATTTAATGCTTCCTTCATTTTAGTGTTGTTATATTTTTTAGTCCTTCAGGATCATTGATTTTCCAATACGTTAGAGTTGTAAATTGAAGACCGCTTAAGCCGGTGCTAGAGTGTCTGACAGATGTTGCACTTTTAAATGATCTCTCATGAACAGGCTTAATGAAGGCGAATCTGCAATCTTCATGTTATATTGTTGTTTCTGCTTTCCATAGAATTCCACTTTTTATAAATGTTGACATGCATACTCACAAAATGAAATTATTCTCGTTTCTGATATAGTACCTGCTTAGG